CTTTAAGACACATTGCTTAATAGACACTGAAGCTGATTAATGTTTGATTTTACTGCTCTAGTCTACACTGTGCTGGTGAGGTGACAATCGTCAAACAATCTTTTAATTAATACATTTTAAATAATTAATTTTAAAGTTGTCTTTTTTTTTTTAAACAAAAACCTTGAAAACTATGTTAAATACGTGGTACTAAAGATTTAGTGGACAAAGTACTTTTTAATTCCAAGTCCAATTCCAATACCATCATTTGGAACTGAATGGTACAAACAAGCTCCAAACCAAACATCAGCAGATCTCAAGGCAATTTGCAAGTCATTATGAAGAAGCCCTATATGACGGTAACAGGCCCTGAATAATTTATATCAGCAAGTTACAGGACGAGCCATAGGCCAACGTCAAAGCCCCAAATCATCTGAAAGTATCAAAAAGTACCAACATAACTCTAGATGACAACTCGTAACAAGTCCCACATAATTCTGTACCAGCGGGTCCAAGAAAATATCATGAATCCAAATCAAGACACAATTGAGCAACCTGCAAATCAAAAATGAAAATTTTAAGTCTCTAAGAATCCCAAGAAAAGAATAACAAGTCCCAATTCCAGTTTTAATGTAAGGCCAAACATTCCTAGAAATATACTTATTAAAACCTAGGAAATAATCCAAATGAAATGAATAATAGTACAAAAATTAAGCCCAGGGTCTAAAGTCCCTATCCAGTTTGCTGTCCAAAATCAAAAGCCCAGTTGTTCATCAACAAGTCCTGTAATAAATCATTAGCATTACAAGTTTCAAGAAAAGGGAAACAAGTCCAAAATAAAACATTAGCAAGTAAACAAATATTAAAAGTCTAATTTCCAACTCCAGTTCCAAAAGAAATGCAAAGAAGTCCTGGGACTAAATCTGAAAGTCTTAGGCCAAATCCCAAATGAAAGGGAACAAAGTCCAAAGCCTTGCATCTTCAGTCTGGTTCCAAGTCGAGACAAGCCAGCGAGTCTCCAACTAAAGCTACAAACCTCAGGCCCCAATAAAAGGAAATAAATCTAAAATCAAGTCTCTGGTCAAAATAAATAAATAAAATCAACAAGTACAAAAGTCTTGTTGCAAATTCCAAAATAGAGTTCCAAATCAATTCTAACATCTAATAAAATCCACAGACAAAACAATAATAAATAATGACCAACAACTCAAGGCAAGCAAAGTAAGCAGTCCAGTTCTACCCCCATCGCATAATAAGCAGTATTACATAGGAAAACTGATTAGATTATCTAACTCTAGATACTGAGTATTCAGTGATCTTTTACTTGGTTTGAGGCTGGGTCTCACCTGATAGTATAAAAGCTGCATGGAGTTCACCTGGAGCTCATGTTGCTTTGCCCCCACCCACTGAGAGAGAAATGTGGAGAACAGTTAATTACTTTACTTCAGTCTCTGTGGAGTGTTTTGTCAGCATATACATTTACTCACCACTTGGTAAAGTGACGTCACCAGAACTCCAAGAGACGCGAACACAATCCCCAGCAAGTTGAACCGCACATCATAGTACGAGTTCAATATCACTCCTAATGTTATGGGTACCTGAGGAGAGGGGAACAGATTGTGCTGACATTGTTTCTCACTTACCCCAAAGTGACCCAAACCCCAGTATCCTGTAAGAATCATTCAGATTGGCATGTTTCTACAGCTCTAACAAGCAGATGGGACTTTGCTAACCAGTGTAAGTTTAATCTTGGTGGAGAAGGTCTTCTTGTAGTAGGTGGTCTGGATGAGGATGATGACGGGAGTGGTCATTGCTTTAGCCAACTGGTACGTTCCTATCGAGTTGTTCTGTAGGGAAAGGTTGGTAAAGACCACGAACCCGCAGAAGCTCAGAGCCAGCCACACGATCCTGCGAATCGGAAGGCTTTTTGGAGCAAAAACATCCATTTTCTGGCAGAAGTAGAGTCCCAGCCAGGTGACCACAAAGTGAACGAGGGTCAGGGTCATGTTGGGGAAGCCATAGTGCACGTAGATCCATTTGTTGATGAAGACGATACAGATGGAGGAGAATAGATTGACCAGCAGGCCAGCCACAATGCTCCTGTTTGCTAAAAAGCTGGCAGCCATGATCTGGGAGGCCTCAGAGTTAAAGTTACTCAGACGGAGCTTTGTTGAACTTAGCTGAGCTGCTCACACTGGCCAAAGAGAGATACGAGTGTTAGAAAGTCTAAAACTAAAAAAAACAGTCAAGACGCTCATGGTACAATACAAGCTACAAGCAAGATAAGTGTTTTTCTAGTTTGAGAATCCAACAACTACAATAAAAAAAATCATTAAAAGGTTTAACAAAAGCACTGAATTAACTATATGAAGGTAAATATATTATCATATTTATACATAGACCTCAATTTTTGAGTCTCAGACGTAACTGAGCAAACTAACTTAAATATAGGGATTATTTTTGGTACTTGGATGAAAGTCAGTGATCACCAAATGCTGCATTTACTACTCTGAGATGCTCCGCCATGCCTTTACTTCAGCTCCTGTCAGCTGCTGCTTGTTTTATTGAGTCTTCAGTCACAGAAAGGCTGTTTTATTGGTTTGAGATCAGGTGACTGACTTGTCCAATGAAGAATATCACATTATTATTATTTTAGTTTACTTTTGCAGCCTTCTTTAGGTCATTATGAATTTCCACTTTGAAGCTATCTGATCAGTTTTGTGTCATTTGTCTGATTGTGAGGAGCGAGTACAACCCTTTACACTTTGCAATCCATCCTCATGTTTCTGTAAGCAATCACTTCAATAATAAGCATTAATAGTAACCAGTATTTGCACCTTGTTGTAAATCATCTCCATTTCCATTCATGAAGTCATCCCTTAGTTATAGACTTTGACTGTGATACACTTGACCAAGTCTTTTACTTGGTTAGATGTCATAAAGTTGTTTTTATTATCTGTAGTGGCCTTTTGGGCCTTTGGGTGCTGCTGGGCTGAGCAGTGCGTTTACTTAGTGACTTATGAAGTTTCTGCTCTCTATCATAGATTTATTTGTGTTTTTAGGGTAATAATGGCTAAGCCACGTTAGGCGTCCCAGTGAACAAATAGTTATGGACCTAACTGAATATTAGAGATTAATATTGGTGTTTTTACACCAATACACTGAAAGCACACAAAAGAAAGTTCCTTAAATTGTAATCCGGTGTCGTAAATAGCATAATAATCGTTAAGTCCTCTCCAAGCCTTCAGACTACCGGAGGGAACATTTTGCCGTTTGTAATGGTTAACGGTTAAAATAACGGAGTCCTGCCTGATGCTCGGTCTTACTTTATGTCTTACTTAAAACCATTAGGTGGAAACCGGTAGAGCTACTCAAGTTCACAGCTCCACTCACATCTAAAGCGATGCGTAGTATATATATATAAAAAAAAAAGACTTATCCGCTTCTCTGTCTGTCTGCCAGGCACTGAATAAAGTTTACCTCGGGTCATCTTTCCATTTGCCTCCCTGCTTCTCCTCCGTCTCGCCTTGCTGCCGCCAACCAAACCCCGGAGAGGTACCGGTCTTCCCCGGCGTTCGAAGCTCCTCTCCCGGCCTCTGCAGTGCCCAAATCCCCGCTGCTGTGCCGGAGGAATGTCTTCCCTGCTCTTCCGCAGATCGTAACACAGCCGTGACTTCTAGCAGCAGGAGAAGAAAAAAACACCCAGTGAGTGAATATGTTCCTGCTTCCTCCCAGTTTAACACCGTTTACCGTTTGTGTCTATCAAGCAACAGCGGCTGCTAACGGACCGGAGGGAAGAGGAGCGCAGAGGTGGTCTATGTGGCAGATGTCTCCCTCCATAGAGAAACTAAGCCGGGTGCAGAATTTGCAGAATGCTTTAGGTCAGCCACAATGAAGGGTTTTCCAGCATGTTTAAGTCCGTGCCAAAGCATCTCAGTCTGATTTAAGTCCAAACTGACTGGGCCACACAAAGAACCTAAAGGGCAGCAGCCCCAGACATTCACACTACCACCATGTTTGACTGTTAGTATGATGGTCTTTTTATGAAATGTGGTGTTAGTTTTATGTGAGGTGTAACAGGACTTAAACCTTCTAAAAGTATATTTTTCCCAAAATATTCTGTGGACTTTGGGATCATCAAGATGTGTTTTGGCTAACATGAGACTAGCCTTTGGCCTGTCTTTGGTCAGTGGTTTTCTCCTTGGAACTCGCCATTTTTGCCCAGCTATTTTCTTATTGTTGAATCATAAACTCTCAACTTAACTGGGGAAGGTGAGGTCTGCAGTTCTTTAGATGTTGTTCAGGGGCTTTTGTGACCTCCTGGATGAGTCATTGATGGGCTCTTGGAAGAGTTTTTGGTTGACAACTCCTGGGAATTTTCACTACTGTTGCAAGTTTTGTGGATAATAGATGTCACTGTGGTTCACTGGAGTCCCAAAGACTTGGAAATATCTTTGTAACCTTTTCTACACTGATAGATGTCAGTGACTTTGGTTCTTATTCATTTCTTTATATCGTGGCATTATGTGTTGCTTTGAGATCTTTTAGCTTACATCAGACAGGTTCTCTTTTAGTGATTCAATAGATTTGGACGTAATCAGATTTAGATTTTTTTTTCTATGATTAATAAAACACTTAAGTTTACAAAAAAACAGTGGAAACATATACAAGGCTGGATGCAATCTAATTACAACTCGTGGGGGCAGCAGTGTGAATTAAGAGACGCAGTCTGCTGAGAATTGAAAAGATGTAGAAGAAGCAGCC